ACCCGCATACCATCTTTCCATACGGTTGATGTGAAACATCCTGCCACACCTCTGTCCAGACATGTCAACTACTATAGCGATATTTAGCAATCATTGCACGGTTCATGACTTACAAGTGCAAGGCTAGGTTTAAAACATCCCTTTTTGTGGTTTTCTTGCCTCGTTGAGAACAAAAATCCCAGCAAAAGCTGTGTTACCTGCTGAAACTGGTCATCCCCTTAGAAGCTGGGGAACTAATACAACCAGAACAAAGTCATCGACAACATATCTGTTCTTACAGATATCATTCCAAATCATTTGCTCGCATGTATGCAGATCCAGGATTTTACCAAATTTAGACCAGCAGCTTGTCCCTTGCCTACCAAGTTGGGACTCAGCCCACAATATCCGGCACACCACTTTTGACTCGTGGCCAAGGATGGAACTTTGCGTTTTTCACTGTGTGTGGGGGGGGGGGGGGCGGGGCAAACCCATGAGTCTTACCTTCTATTTCCAGAACCCATTTATTCACGGATTTATTCTGGTCATATTTTGGACTTGATATAAGAAAAGAGAATACAGCTCCTGGTTTTGGTATTACGAGTTTAAAGTTCTTAGTATAAGCTAACGACCTTTAATATTCCTGGAGGCACTGGTTAAAGGGAATCCCCCACATTTGAAGATATCGTAGTACGCATGAGATATTATGAAATAAGCCCACTTATAACTATTGGTACATTTTTAGGTAGAAAAGACTGCTCTAGACAACGCACTCTCTCTGTTTAGAAAATATAGTCTTCAATAAGTCGTCTGACTACGTCCTTATTTACCTCGCACAGTACTGAGAACCAAGTGGCGGCCGTTATATTTGGAAATCGTGCTCATGAGCGCCAGATATGAACGAATGGACAACAACGTTTGTCTTAGCCTTGATCGCACAGCTAATGAAATTGCGAAATTTGAAGGACGCTGTTATGCCGTCATGGATGCCTGGGTGGCCTTGAAAGAGTTTACCCGAAAAAGTCTGCACATCTTCACGGGCATGTAGACTAGAAACTAAAAGGGTGTAGGTCCCATTTGGTAGAATAATATCAACAAGACAGCTTATCCTGAAAATTGCTGTCGTCACTTTACCAGGAGGTATTAGTTAACGACGATGCCAAAGAATTGTGACATCTTAAAAAAACGCTGACATGTGCAAATTTGGGAATTTTTCAAACATAACCTGATGATTGCCTGACATCGTCGTTAAGCTATTACATCTCGGCATGTTGAGGGCCGGGTATTTTCGCTTCACATCTCATCATGACTAACAACCAGACGCTCAAAGCCTTTATTGTTTGCGTCCATATGCAACGGGATCAGCAGTGACACACTTGAAGTTCGATGAATTAATATTGTATATATAACTTCATCGTTTCTGACCGTGCCTAAGCCCTTGGCTTGCCACGAATTTGAACAGCCAATTGATTAGATGAAATAGTGCCGCCGCCGCCGCCGCCGTCGACCAACCTTAAAATTTGGCAGTTTGGTTCGGAACCTCGTAAGCAAAAGAAAGGTGACCCATAGCACTAGCTAGCAAATCGGTGGCTGGGTGTGAAGTGATCCTCCGCGCTTGCCACTTCCACTGCAGTGTCCTTGGCTAACCCATTCACTTGTTCTTCGAGCCCGAAAGATATCGAATTGTTCCCTTCAATGGCATTCCGTGGCCCCTTGGTGAAGACCAATGCCAGACCAAAGTAATACCTGTTTTCAGTCACCACAATAGTCGGTAATGCTAGCGTGCAACAGTCAGTAATTTGCTACAATTTCGCCTGAGAAGCGTCTCACACGGGCGAGAAGTTGCGAAAAAATCCGCTCCACCCTCTTCCGGTGCACCGCAATGAGATCTTCGAAACGACCACTGCGCACTGAGACGAGCCGCGTGCGAGACGCTTGTCACACGCAGACAAAATACCGCGCTATCACTGGTGCTAAATGATCCAACAGCATACATCAAACATGGCCGCTTCTGGTGCGTGCGCGTCCACGCTAAGACATGGGGTTGACGACAGCACCGAAATTTTAAAGTACAGATCCAAAAATGAGGCACCCTCTGGATACCTGAGATGAGAAGCCAATAAATCACGTCACGCTTTTTGACATTCTCAACTCATCTCCCCTGGTCACGCTGCGTCCGTGTGTAAAGTGTAGCGTCTGTTTTTGGCCGCGTGTTGCTTGCCATGATAGGAAGCTAATTGTATCGAAGTGTAAGATTTGCTTTTTAAAGGACTTGAACGTAATTTCCCAACCGTACCTGGGCGTAACACTAAGGTTTTTACCCACCCTCCTCCATTCTTCCTTGTTGCTCTTTGATCACGCTCCATCAAAACCCTCTTCCAACTCCATGCGTAACATATGATGTGGACGATCCATTTGGTATTGTGCTGTTTTTTCTCTCCCATGGCAGATCTTCGTGAATCAATTAGCGGATTCTTTTTTGCGCTACGCTCTCGGCATGGGTCCCCGCTTTGCTGCACGAGCCCAGTTAAAAAAGTCACTCCAGTGAGCTGATCAACTTCTGCGCTTTGCGCTTTAGATCATAATAGGTGTGGAAAGGCAGGCTGTATGGTGTTTTCATTTGAAGATTTGAATGCGATGCAGGCTGCAATCGGTTATCGTCAACAACCTGAGTCGCATGGAGAGCTGAGCCCAAACTGTCAGTCAGTCGCCGGGGCCCCGCGTCAGAATCAAATCTACGTGTAGTGAATCGGAATCAGCGTCGGCCTTGCCCAACTGGTGTCGAGCATATGTCTGTTTTGTGCGGTATACTGTTGTACAGGTTCATCTTCCTTCGGTTAAATTGGCCAGGATTGGCCGGACAGACTCAACTTATTTTGAGGAAAAAGAACTGTACCTGGTTCAGCATGTCGACCAAGGTCAACAGACTGTGTTCCAGAAGACTACCTTTTTCGGTACAGTTCACATTGTCCATCAGCTGATCGACACAACAGCCGTCCATCAGCGCCCAGTTAGGCCGCCGTCCATCAGTGCCCAGTTAAGCTGCCGTCCACCAGCCCTCGCCAGAGCACACGGTCGGCAGACCGGCCGTCCCCGGCAGGCCTCGCGCGCACGACCGGCGCCCGCCGCCGTCGGCTCCGGGTGACATCAGCGGTGACGCTGCGTGCGGCGGCGGCGGCGCGGCGCGGCGCAGCAGTTGTGTTTGTGGCCGGTCGGTGGACGGAAGCCGCCTGGCGGGCTAGTACGGAGCGGAGCGTTTATGCCGAGAGGGAGGGCCTGCCGGGACGCGGGCACGCCTGCTGCGAAGATTGTTCAGGAGCTCCACGTGAGTCCGCGCTGTGCCCGCGCGTGTGTTGGCCGCCCTTCGTAAGCCGACGTGTTGTTTCGCAGCTGTCGCGGGCTGTGTATTCTGCGTTTTAGTAACCATCAAATTAAATAAATCAGAAATGGAAAAGAGCGAATGAATCAAGCTTTCCTGGCATGAGAAGGTATTTGTGGTCCCTTAAGGTGGTTTTGACATCAATAAATTCCGATTAACTGAGATATTATCACTTATGCGTCTTGCTTTCGACCGGTGCTCTCAGTGGCCAGAAACGCCGACCACAGGGAATGTACCGCCGTCGTTACATGGCATTCGCCTGTCGTGGGGCGCATGGTAAGGCCGCAACCTTGCAGAATTCGTACGGTGTAAAGGGAATGGGCATGACAAAGACAAAGATGCTGGGTGTATCATGAGGGCTTATTGTAGCTTTATGCGCTCTTGCCTCATTTTTCACGCTACGAATTTCGTTGTGAGTTGTTCCGTGTGAGTTGTATACGCAGAGACAGCATTGGCTGACATCGGAATGTACCGGAGTGATTTTGTGGTTATAGATTTTTAATGTGACCACCGAAACGTTAATTATCCTGTGACTTACAAAGAGTTTACAAACATTGGCAGTTACGTTCTGATAAATGGAACAGTTGTCGCAAAACGCATATGATGATATGCTTAATGAATTTGGATTGGAAACTCTTGAGGTTGGTTGCCAAAAAATAAATGTGGGTGTTAATGTATGAATATAGTTTTCAAATGAACGTAGAAATGAAAAAGGAGAACGTAAAGCGATGTATTGAGCTGTTTGTCAGTGGCGAATTTAGCAATGTGCGGTAGAAAGTTGGTAACTATATCTTTTGAAGCTTTGTAGTCTATTGGGGTCACTTTGCCGAACGATAGCCTCAAGTAAGGATATTTGGGTAAACTAGAATTTAGACATAATGTTTTCGCCAGAGATAAACCAACGTAAAACGTTAGGACGGACGGTGTCGGGCATTGTGGTACGGTAAGCTTTCGCTTCAAAGTCTGCCTCATGGCCGGTAAATTTCACGATTGTGCCTGGTAGCGTTGGGGCTCACGCAACAAACGCTGCTTATCGCGGCAGTTTGATCCCAGAAATCAACCCAATGAAAGGTGTATCTGTTACATCTTTAAAAACCCCAGTGCTGTGAAGGCCGCGGTTTTTTGGTAACCTGTTTACGATGTGGCAAATGCTGCTAGACCACATCGTCCAGTTTGTTTACCTGTGGCGGATTTATATGAATATCAAACTAGGGGTCAGTTTTGCATTCGCTCAGCGTCTCCTGTCAACACATGCCATGACTTTGGCACCCAAATCGGTTGCCAAAGAAATCATGTCGCCCCTGTGTGCAGTGTCCGAACGCACCCTGTTACCGTATCTTGCACATATTCAGGGGCGCAGTTTCCAATGTCCTATTCTGTTGCCTCCCCATCCCCCACCCCCCTCATACTTTGATGAGACGGGTCAAGTCCGGGATAAGGCCGTTTAAGTGTAATCAAGGGGTCAGTTTAGTTGTTTCCCTGTTCAGCTTCCTTCCCCCAGCTTATTTTGAGAACTTACACTTTTGCACATATGCAATGGAACATCGAAGCTGATTGTCGTTAGCCAGAAAAGAGGAGAAACCATTGTTCTAATGGTGAATAATAAATAATGCCGTTGCTGTGCCTCTAATCACAACACCAGCCGCCACCACCGAACATCGATATTTGCTTAATTTGTAGGCGGTGGAGTTACCTTCTCCCATGCATGGGATGATTGTGATAAGACGTAGCACAACAGCACAATTTGCTGCGGTCTGTATATTTGAAATATCGCTGAATAGTGCCAAAACAATCCAACAGTGGCACAAAACTAGACCAGATATAGCAAGAGATATAAATCGTGTAATAGAAATAGGTAGCATGCAAGAAAAACAGAACAAAACTCAAGTGAACTCGTTACTTACCCTCAGAGATTCAAAACAGTGACCGACTTAGTCGGGTGTACTAAAATGTACATGATATCGCAGTCTTTCGTTTTCTGTAAGTTTTTACCAGTAAACAATTAATAAAAGTATTTTTTTAAGTTGTTGTAATTTCGAGTTCGCATTTGTAATGTCCTATATGTACTGGGGCCCAGTAATGTTGGGGGGGGGGGGGGCAGGCTCGCCATTGGGAGGGAGCAGATTGGACATCGGGAGGGGGGCAGATTGGACATTGGACGGGGGGGGGGGGCAGTGGCCCATCCAAAAGAGTGCAAATAGACAGCCTTACTTATGTGCGGCAGTGTTCACGCCCAACGTCGTCTTGCGAGTGATAATTAATCAAATGTTCGAAAAAGCCGGCGGACATCATGGTCCAGCAGCCAGGCCGGAATCCTTCGCGCCGCGTATTTCGCTGGTTACATCACGGCATGCGACCTTGGAGGGATTGCAGGCCAGCGACAATGGCGTCCGCATGATTTGTCAGTAGTCGCACACAGAATAAATGGCAGACATAAACGTACTGCGCATTCATCCCTGACGTCTAGGGGTGATGCATCTCGGAGACAGTTGCATTAGCACTGTTGAATTTACGATCCTCGGGCTCTGCCGGATCTGACCCTGTGGCTCTAGCTTCAGCACATGATCTTATCTCCTGTGTATTTTCAGCGAGCGATTAGCTTCGGAAAGATGGAACAACTCATATCGAAATAGATAGATTCGAGCCTGGTTTTGAAACTGAGTAGCACAACACATGACATGATGACGTTTCAGCAGACTTCGGCCCCCCAACACCTTTTAATGGTACGCGACATAAACAAATGCCAAAATATTTTGCTAGGGAGGGGTGGTTGTGCGAGCCGACGCGATGTATACGGCGACACCGGATCTAGACCCGGCTGCTAGTTTACGTTGTACCGCAGTGAACACGTCTGAGCTCCGCCGGGCCGCGATGTCTAGAGTGGGCTGGAGGTCTGGACAGCGTGTTTATGTCCGCCGGCATGACGCAGGTGTGGGTCTGGTAGGCTACCGTGTGCCAATCGCTGCCTTGGAGGGTTCGGCGGCCGCCGTCCGCTGCCATATGCATGACGCGCTTCTGGGAAGCCCAGCCGGCTCGATTTTAGCCAGACATTCTGGCGCGCGCGCGCAGCTGGTGCCCCTGCTCCCGGAACGGTGTGATGCGTTTGTAGATCGGTCGGTCGCAGTCGGCTGCATACGTCATCCATTGGGCGAGTCGGAGCACAGATCTGGCTACGCAGAGCTGCTAGCTCAACGCAAACCCAAATGCGGTGAAATGTTCCCGACGAACCATCAACTCCGAATAGACGCGACGACCTGTGTGTGTGACTCAGAACACATCTGCACGCGACAAAAGGTTCTGCAAACGATTCCTTTGCTGGGATGGCAAAACCTAATATGGTACGAATCCAAACAAGGCACCTGCACGATAGCCTGGCGTGGGTTATATTACAGTTTCTTGCATCACTGAGGAGCGTAGTTAAGCGGTGTTTGAAGCACGCGAACTGCTTGGGATCCAGGAGCGATAAAGAGGGGTCTAGGCAACCAGACTTTCTTGTACGCTATGTTTGACGCTCTATGAAAATAATATTGACACTACTCGCGGATGTGGCGGTAAAGTTGTAATCGTCCCATGCAGGAAAGAAGGCAATTCTACCGCCTATAAATTAAACAAATATCGATATGCGGAGGTGGCAGCTGGTATTGTGATTAGAGTGACAGCAACAGCAAAGAGAAGTTTCTCAAAGTAAGATGGGGGAGGCGGAACAGGGAAAAAACTAAACTTATCCCCCAAATACCCTTAATCGGCTTTATGCTGGACTTGACCGGTCTCTTCAAAGTGTGAGTGGGGGGGGGGGGGGCAACATATTAGGAGACTGGAGACTGCGCCCCTCCATATGTGCGGGATATGGTAACAGGGTGCGTTAAGGTACCGCAACAGGGGCAACATGAATTATTTTGCAACCCATCTGAGTACACTGTCATGACGTACTGACGGGAGACGTCGGGCGAATGCAAAATTGGCCGTCTAGTTTGATATTCATAAATATCCGCCACAGGTAAACAAAGCTGAACGATGTGGCCTAGCAGCTTTTACCGCATTGTAGACATGTTGCGAAAAACCGTGGCCTTCACGATACTGGTATTATTAAAGATGAAGCTCAAACCTTCCATTGGGTTGATTTCTGGGATCAACTGCCGCGATAAGCAGTGTTTGTTGCGTGAGCCCCAACGCTACCAGCCAATCGTGAAATTACCGGCCATGAGGCAGACTGGAGCGAAAGCTTAACGTACCACAATGCCCGACACCGTCCGTCCAGCCCACGGACACGGCGACACGCTTTTTTCCCTCTTTTGATGACCGGGTTCGCAACGGGCGTTTTGAACTGGTTTATTTCTGGCAAAAACATCATGTATGAATCCTAGTTTACCCCAAATATCTTATACTTTGGGCCATTTGCCACCGGCAAACAGCTCATAGACGTCGCTTTACGCTCTCTTTTCAATCCCAACTTCATAATACAATCAACTTTATACATATTCACCTACATCCATTTTTTGTCTCTAAACCTTAAGACTTTTCAAGCCCCACCCGAGCGCGTGTTAAATTTTGATGTGTCGAGAACGTGCGTGTAAGATGGTTGTAATACACACGTAGATTCTGGACAGTGCATTTTTTAAATGCATTGACAAATAGTTGACAGCTTACATACGTACACAATGACATATATGATTATATATATATATATATATATATATATATATATATATATATATATATATATATATATATATATATGTGTGTGTGTGTGTGTGTGTGTGTGTGTGTGTGTGTGTGCGTGCTTGCGTGCGTGCGTGTGCATGCGTGCGTGCGTGCGTGTGTGTGTGTGTGAACATAGAAGGTGGATGGAATCCGAGAAGTTTGCCGTTGCTTTTCACCTAGATCTTTGATGTTTGAAGTTCTTCGAAGTTCTTTGAAATCTTTGAAATACTCTTTCGGGGACTTCC